GGGTCATTTGAGCCCAGTTTTCTCTCCTGCTCACAGCCACGGGTCAGACTAGAAGACCTACAAGGTCTCTTCCGACCCTACATCTATGAATCTATTGGTTCTTTGCAGGGCAGGTAGGTGCATACCTGGCCTGTGGTCCCGAGGGGATGTTGCTGCTGTTTATGAGTTATGGACTGTGAAAAGCAACAACCTGGTTTGTTCTGGGACTGGCAAGTTTTAAGGTTTTGTGCTGCAGCAGTGGAGATGAAGCACTTAAAAGGATGCTACCAGTGCTTGGTGCAGACCTCTTACCTAAAACATGCTGTCTCTGCTCTCTGTCTGTGCCCCCTCCCAATTTCACACCACCGTTACACATCTTATCACAAACTCCTAGAACTATGAGGCTGGCAGGGAGCTCTGGAGGTCACATCCAGTCCAACCTCCTGCCCAAGGCAGGATCAGCCGAGTCCAAACTAGCTCAGACAAACGCCTGCGTGCGACCTTGGAGCTGCATGACAGTCGCCTCGACAACCCGCGGCATTGCCTTCACTCCTGGGAAAGCACGGGCACTGGGGAGAGCCCAGGTCCAGGCTGTGCCCCCGCTGCAGAGGGAGGAGAAACCCCCCAGGCTGGACCAGGCTGAGTAGGGGGCAAATCCTTGCTTACCGCGCCCCCCAGGCAGCATGACTGGGGGGCAAGAACCTCCAGCCAGGACCATGAGGGGCTGAGTCCCAGCAGGAGCACTGGCACAGCCCGGGCCCAAGACCAGACACCACGGAGCAGGAAGGGGTGAATGGGGCAACCAGCACAGCCCAATGGGCCACCGCACAGCAGAACACAGGCATTGCAGTGCCTCGACCCCCCCTGGACCCTCCTGTGCTGCAGAGTCCCCCTTGCCCTGGGCCTCTATTCCACGGCCTCCCTCTGCTACCAGTGAAGTTTTCCCCGATATCCAATCTAAACCTGCTTTGCCAGTACTGCTCTGGAGCAGGGAGCGGCTCCTGAGTCACAAAGCTAACATGCGGGGCGTACTCTTTGCTTGGGGAAGGCACAGCCAGCCGTGCTCCCATATGACTCAGCCGCAGAGCCAGACTTTGCGCAGGGAGCACAAAGAGCCTCCTTCCCTCTTCACAGATTTGGCCCTTGGAGTGCCCAGGGCTCCTGGAGGGGCCAAGCGGGAAACAGGGATAGAGCCCGTGCGTGGAGCCCCACGTTGGCAGAGACAGGGCAAGCATTTGGCTGTGGGGGGTTACTGCACCCGGGAACCCACAATGGTTAATGGTGGGGCTGTTTGTCCTACTGCCAGAAGTGAGTCCAGATCCCTCCCGGGGGCAAGGGGGTATGACCACCCTGTCTTACAGGCTTTGAGAAGTCATACGAGGTCCACAGTCAAGGGCCCTTCCAGCCAACTAGCCTAGGAGCATGCTAAAGCTTAACTTGGACAGATCCCAAGGCCAGGGGTGAACGCTGCCTTCCCCCAGAGTGCTCCGGCGCGAAGCAGCATGTCCTGGGGCAGGGAGGGGCAAAGCAGGGACCCAGCCCTACA